GGTTGTTCTCGGAAAATAAAGACAGCGGGGGATACCTACCTGGGTTTTAAGGGCGGTGGAATGAAGTTTGAACCTCGAGATTCTTAAAAACCGAAGTTACATGCAGACTTGGATGCTTTAGCTATGTTTTTTTGTCAGCTGCCTGGTGAGGGGGAAAGCTGATTTAAGAAGCAAGCTAGCTGGCTACAATGTCTACTTTGTGTGTTCATTTGTAAATGGTATGTGTTCTGTTTAAGCCTGGCATTATGCAAAATGTATATGCAAAGAGGACTGTTTTTGCTGGCTGCCATTGTTGGGAGACGCCCTCTGAAATGTGTTTTAAAATAGACATTATAAAATGATCTAGATGCTGTTTCTAAAGTGGTGGTGGTGGTAGGTGAAGTGGATCCCCGTGCTTAGTGACTTGATGTAGAACAGAAGGGTTTCAGCCGGCTTTATCCTCACAGTAATTGTAGGCGGAGCCCCCCAGGCACAGACTATAGCAGGGCAGTAATGAAAAAAGGAGAGGCTCAGACCCACACTGACCTCTTGGGCAAGTGGTTTCTGTGCTTTGCTGCTCTCTTCTGTAGATTGGAATCATACTACCCTCCTAGGACTGTGGTGAGGAGTTAGGATACACATGTTGCTATTATTTACCGTTGAGTCAGAACCAACCCAGAGCTGATGGGTTCTCAGAGGTATTTTAGTCACACTGATCTGCAGGAGAAAGATGAGCAGTGTCCTCCCAGTGTGATTAAAATACCTCTGAAAACCGCCGACGAGGGGGTCAGCTGGTGGATTTGAACTGTGTGCCTTCCGGAGTACAGTGCAGTATGTGAAAAAAAAATGGGGTATGACACGCCTCTACCTAAAACATATGAATTCAAAATATGAAGAGGTATTTGAGCCACCTCTTTGGAGAACAAAAGATAGACAAAAGCAGCCATTGAGTTCAAGGGTTTTATTGCTAAACTATCATGATACAAGCCGTATAAAAATACTTTACATATAGCAAAAATAGACTACATTACACTAGAGATTAAAAATGCTTTTCATAGGAATGCAATGTCTTCAGACCCTTTTAACAGTCAGGAGGTTCGAAACCGTAGCCTTCCAGCACCACCCCACTGGAAAGCTGTGTTAGGACCCACTCAGCGTTTTCTCCCTATGGGGCTTGCAGAGGTGACAAGGGTAAGTGAGATTCTCTTGACAAGCTGTCTGGGATGCAAAATGTTTGGTCCCAACTGCCACAGATGCTGTCAACTTGGCCAAGCTGAGCACGGCAAGCATCCAGTCTGGCCAAGAGAACATCACTTGTGTTGCTGTCATCCAGACCCTGAAATCGGCAGGGTTCTTAGTCTGCCCGTGGTAGCTAAAGGCAGACGTGCTAAATCTCCCAGGGCCTCATGTTCAGGAAGGAGCATCATCCTTCACCCCCAGCAAGGTCCGTTCTTCAGCAAACTGAGAGAAGTTGGGAGTGACTCAAGGCACTTGAAGGTCTGCGAGGCTTCAAAGTTTAAGCCCCGGGGAGATCCACGGTTAAGATGTGTCGGGTACTTCCTCTAGGGCTGACCCCTGAGAAAATGGAGGGACCATGCTCCCAGCTTGTCAAGGATGTTACCACCCACATGCCTCTGGTAAATGAGCAACGTGGTTGAGCAGACTCCTGACACGCTGTCCATTCAGAACAATCAGAAAACATATGGAAAGAAACAAATTCAGCCTTACTTTAGTCCAAAGTCACAATTTAAGACATACCAGCTTCCGACCTGCTAAGTTTGACAGCTGTCAAACTGGCTGGGACACACGGCTACTGGACGAGGTGCTCCCACTGCTTCTCAGCTCTTCAGCAGAATCTGCACAACTCATCCTGTGCTGTGTCTTTGCTCAAGAACTTTAGACTTCCTTTGGGAAACAAATTGTCTAGCAGGATTTAGATCTGGTCAGCTCTTTTGACATTAGCCTGTGTTAAGGATTTTTAACTGAACTATTTTTTAATCCCATTACAACACCGGCAAAAATCAAAACATACTATCAGACACTTTATAGCCTCGGTCTCTTTGATCATAAGTTCCAGCCTCAGGGTTGATGGAAGCCAGCATCCTTCTTGAGCAAAAAAACCAGGGGAGTCTTTTTTTAATCAAAAGCATTCCCCCTTCTCTCCTGAGACATTCTCTGCTGGGAGACAGGTGGCCAGCAGAAAGGCTGAGTTTTGTTATATTAAAAAAAAAAGAATAACAAATCTTCAAGAAAAAAAAATCAACTTGTATGTAAAAAGACACTTGGAAAAAAATTCTGACCCTTTATAAATATCTTCTAATTCCAACAGGGGTATGTTATCTAGATGAGAAAGATTTAAAAGCATACAAATACAGATAAGAAAATAAAAATTTAATAACATACTAATTAATTTGGAAAGCTAGTATATATTATCAAGTAGCAGTATTTTTGTACAAGACAGGAAGACTTGGAACTGCTGGCAACAGACTACATTCAGCAACATGGTAGGTTCCTATCCGAAGTGCTACATTTGTATGTGAACTGTCCTGTAGCAAGTGCAAACCTTGACCTAGCCTCAAGCCTTCTCATCTGCCTGCAACACACCCATCCTCATTCCATTTCTTTGAGGATCAGTCTCTTTGCAAACTGCGAACACATTTCATATGAGCATCTAATTCTTCGTAAAATTTCCTCTTGGCTTTGTGACTTTCTGGTAACTACCACTTCCCGGTTCACTTTCTCGTGCCTGGATGCAAGTCAAGTGCTTTTAATTTCCCTTCCCATTGTTATTTGGTATACTTGTTTATGAAAGTGCTTCTTATAATATCCAGTTAAGATACCTTAGAGAGAGGCGTCTGTGTGTGTCACGCACACACATACATGTATATGTATATACAAAGATGGAGCCACTAGGAAGACGTCTTCACTAACATGGTTAGATGATCGATGGAAAATGCATTAGTCCTTTCTCACCCTGTGGACGATGAAGCCAAGCTACTTTGGGTACAATAGCAGGAAGGCACTTGGGTGAAACATTCAGATAACTGAGGAAAGGCTGCGTTTCCTCATGTGCAAAGCTGGCCAAAGGCCAGGCCAAGTGCGAACGAATCGCTCAGCAAACACTCCAACTCCTGCCCTGTGAAGTCTTCAGTATTCCTGGTGAGAAAGTTCTTTGGGTAAAGCTGCTTGGATAAGGACCTTTCCTTCGTAATGAGAAAGAATTGAGCATCCTAGAAGTTCGGCGTTTTGGTTTAAAATGCTTTATCCTGGGAGTGAGATGGGTGGCAAAGTAAGGCATTAACTGGTGGGTAGGAGGAATCCATGTCTAGAACACTGAGCAATCAAGTCCTATGTTCCTAGCTGAGTTTTGGGAGCGTTTTGACTTTTGATGAGCGTGAGAGGCAGGTCTCAGAAAAGCCACTGTGAGGATCTGCCTTTATGTGAACAATCAGGCTTTCCAGGGGCCGCAGGAGCCTTGGTGGTGCACGACTACTAATGGAAAGGTTGGTAGTTCAAGCCCATCCAGTGACTTTATGGGTGAAAAATACCTTGCAGTCTGCCTCCACCCCCCATTACATCTAAGAACACCCCATGGGGGCAGTTCTCTAACCTGCACATGCTATGGGAATGGCCCAGCAACAACAGGGATAATGTAGACCATACTGACAATGAGTAAAGACAACTGAAGGCCTGGGTGGTGGTTGCTAGGTGTGAACCCTAAACTTGTTTGAGGCGTCTACAATAAATGCAGACAGGAAATCACCGGTGTGATTCAGTTGCCAAGAACACAGGTGCTCACAGACCCGCAGTGGAAGACTGTTGACAGGCAGCTTTGGGGCTGCCTTCTCCGGGGAGGGAAGTCTCGGCATCCAGGCTGGTAAAGCACAGCTAATTCTAACGAAGCTTGTGGATGGGCTTCTGTCAAAGCGAGCCCTGGGTGGGCACAGGAAGTTCTTTCAGGACCAGAGCTCTGGGACTAAGATCAGTGAGTTTAGGGGCCCAAGCCTGAGCTTTGCTCTCCCCATTTTTCAGTCTGTGGTGGAGAAGCCCTCGTTTCCTTTTCTCCGGTGGCAGAACCCAGTTACAGAAGCACCTGGCAGTTGCCCCATGGGATGACTGTCTGATTTAACAAAAATAGCTGCATTCTTTCTTTCTAGTTGTTTGGCCAAACCATTTTACTTCAAAACCCACATGTGACCTTCAAACTCCATAATGATTTTATAGAGACACGTTCTCACGAGGAAGTGAGGACTGTGAAAAGCTGTTGGGTTGCACAGTACTGCGGCCGGGGTGCTTACCACCTGCAGTCTCGGCTCATTTTCTCCAAGTCTATGAAAATGCCAAGTTAGCACTGACTAAATGCTGCACGGAAAAGGGATTGGCTAAGGGGGCTTGACCCCAGCCTCCTTCACCTGCTTTCTGAAGCGGAGAGTTAAAAAATAGCATGTGTACATAAGTTAATGCCACACAGTCTGCTCAGATGATGTGTCTCAGCCAGCTTTGCTTTGGAAGGAAGGGTGAGAAGTAAAGCTTTAGCTGTGGCCGGGAAGACCATTCCCTTGCGATGAAGGGTGAAGGTCCCGCTTCTCTGTTTTGACTGACAGGGTCTGGGACATCTTCAACCTCCATGCTGGACTCTTTGGTTGCTTTGAGGGTTCCTTTCCTTCAAAAGGTGAAAGAGCTGTATGAGTGACCTGGAAAATAATCAAGGGGTTTTTTCAAGCGTCCACCCCTTGCCCCAGCTGCAGTCACTCAGTTCTCAGGCAAGCTCCAGCGAGCTGTCTTGCTTGGAATGTGTTTTTGGTCAGCAGGCACTTAGTATTTTGGATGGAACACCATTAAAGGCAGCATGATACTTTTGGGGATTTGCAAGGAGAAGGAAGTGGGCATTCCCCGGTGTGGACAGAGGAGGGCGAGCTCCTGTGCACGGAGTCCCGTGAGCCGATGCACTGGTCCACAGTGGACGCCGGAGGAGAGGTGGTCGGGGAGGGCGCAGAGATGAAGGGCAATGAGAGGTGCCGAGTGGCTGCTTCTACGTCTGATCTCTGGTGGGAGGTCCTGAAAACTCCTTCCTGATAATTTCATTAACTACAAGAGAAAAGAGAAAGAGGGAGGGGTGGGTGAGAGAGCACCAAAAACCCAAGTCTGGTCCACTTTCCACAACTTAGAGCGTCAGGCGTGCTTTAAATATTTTGTGGTAATCCAGCTGCCACTGTTTTCTGTAAAGAAATGCTGTCCTATGGGGTGCTATTTAATTTAGCTTTCTGAAACAGGATTCAGGTGATAATCTCAGGTTTGTTCATGGTACTTGTCCAAGTGATGGCTTTCCCAAATCTTTGTAGCAGAAACGGACATGGACTGTGGGTTATGTTTTAAATGTTTTTTTTTCTTCCTCCTGCATTTAATGCCTGGGCAACTCTCTTTCACACACTTTGCTACTTCCATTAAGGATATTCAGAAAATGCCTATTAGAGAGTAAATCTGACAAAACAGCTCTTCCTCAAGCCATTCAAACCCATAGTTGTCAAATGTGGAGTCCTTACACAGAGGTCAAGTGGAAGCAGTACTGTAGATTAAGGTGCGATCCATCTGGACATGATGTTTACTTTGGCTCATACAGGAAACCCTCCCCTTCTGTTACTGGTAAAGATCAAGGAGCTCTGAGGGCCTCCTGGTTATGTGCTCTGCTCAGCTCCTAACGGAAAGGTCACTGATTCAAACCCACCACCTCCTCCATGAGAAAAAGACGAGGCAGTCTGTTTCCATAAAAGTGCCTGCCTAACGACAATTAACTCCATTAAATTCTACAGTCTTTAGTCACATGTCTTGGAAGAAGTGTAACAAGGGAGTTCTTTAGCGTCAAGGTGAAAATTCTCCTCGCTTGCTTTGGACATGTGTCTTGTGTTCAGGAGGCAGTTACTGGAAAACACATTTCACTGGGAAAGGATGCGGGCCGGTGAAAGAGAAGGACACCCTCACTGAGATGTGGACACAATGACTAACCATCGGTTTGAGCATTTCAGAGATTGCAAGAACGGATCAGGAGAGGCTAAGGTTGTGCTCTGTTGTTCTGAGTTATACTAAACTCAGTGGTACCCAATAGCTTGCATTTGAAAGTATTCAGATAATATATTTATAGTAAAATATGTGAATAAAAGTAGATATTGCTAAAAAAAAGTGCCAGCCTTGGAAACCCTAAGGGGCAGTTCTTCTCTGTCCTGTGGGCAGAATCCCCTTAACAGCAGTGGGGAGATAATGGTTATGCCTTCAGAAGAGGAAGCGTCCTAGGAGAAGGTTGTGGAGACAGTTGAGAAAAGTTTTCTCGCCCCACCCTAGACAGGGTCTAGCAAGCGACCAACAATGCCAAGTTTCTTGGCATCAAAAAAGTTAGCCCCGTGCTGTCTGGGATCTTCAGAGTGGCCATGGAGACAGCATTAGAGGTCTTTAACCGGGAGCCACAGCCTCACTTACTCTGAGACCAAAAGGAACTGGATGGTTCCCACTAGGCTCACAAGAGTTGATCCCAGACAGAATGGGAGGAAAAGGAGCAGAATGAACATTTTTATTTTTATATAGACAAGCTGGAACAGTTGAGAACAGAGGATGCCTGTGACAGTCTTTAAAAACCTAGAACCCTGAAACCATCTTTTAGTAAAATAGCAAAGTGGGATACAAAATAAGAGGGTATTACCAGTAAGATTGGTGCCCTACTTTAAAACTATCTGTGTGGGACTAAAGGGTCAACAGTTATTCCAAAGCAAAGATGGCCAAGGGGCAGGGACACTAGAGTACTAGAAAGGGAACAAGCTGAGTAATAAAAACCAGGGGGGGGTGCACAGGGATAAAAGTAACAAATGTCAGCAACTTGTATGGAAACTGTCAGAATGGGTACCTGGTTTGTGGTACAAATTTTTATGCCAAGAAACTCCCTAAAATTTCTTTTAAATACAAGTAGCAGCTAGCGTGTCCTCTCATGTTGGTGACTTCAGTCAGGGCAGCAGGCTCCCGAGCTCTCTGGAAGAGAGAACCCTGCACAAGTGTGTCCCTCGGCGGCACCCGTCACAGGGAGGCCTTCCCTCCTGCAGGAGGATTCTGAGGCCTGTTCCCAGGGCAGAGGCAGTAGGCTGTATGGTATCGCGTTGATTTTGACTCCTTGTGACCCTGTCGAATGTAGTACAATTGCTCCCTAGTCTGCAATTGGAAGCACATTGCCAAGTCTTTTCTCTTAAAGACCTTCTAGTGGGCCTTTAACTATCAATCTTTTGGTTGGCAACCAAACACTTAACCAGCTGCACGCACCACCAGGGCTCCAGAATGAGAAGATAGGATCCCATCAATGACAGGCTAATCTCTCTCCTGTGAACTGCTGTCACAGCTACTTTCTAACCTTAAAGAGGCTGATAATTAGCAGTGAGGGTTAAATATTAACAGATCTACCCAAAATTTCTGCTTGGTCAGGCTAGGCTGACCCCTGCCCACACAAGTCTGCACACTAACAGACATGATGAGTACAAACCACTCACAAGAGCTAGATGAACCAAGTTAGGCTGTAATCTCTCTGTGCTTCAGTTTTCTCATCTGTAAAATGGGCATCGTAATTGTGCGACTCCTTTTTGCAGTCATTGTAAGGACAGTGCTTGGTGGAGCTCCCAGATCGAGACAGGCTTGGAAGCAGGAGTGGCATTCACTTCCTAAACAACATGCTTCTGGAAACTCTCTGAGCTTAGAGAAATGATAGTTCTAGAACAGGGTTCAGGTCTTTGGTTCATAGAGTTGCTATGAGTCATGCTCGACTCAATGGCACTCACCAATGAGGATGAATGGGTCCAATGTGCGTGAAAGTGCTGAGCTGGTGCCTGATTGACATTAGCTGGGCTGGTTAGTAATGTCCCAACAGTGAATGCCAGAGGCCCATCAGATACAGCTCAGGGTTCCTGGGACATGAGCTGAAAGCAAGTGCAAGGTGAGGCTGAGCTCTACAGCCCCACTTGTCAAGGTCAAGTCATAATACCCTCTTCTGCTGCTTCCCAAACCTGGCCTTTGTGATTTGACTCTCTTGTGCCTCAGTTCCCCTGTGCAGAAAAGCTGGGTGAAGATCTCATCTACCACCTCGGGTTATCAAGGAGCTTGGAAAAGAGCATGCAGGTCCAGAAATGGTCCCGCCCAATGCAGAACAGGGGTTAGTACTGTCGGTGTGTGCGTGTTATAACGGCCAGTGTTTGCAGAGGGCCAGGAGCAGGGCTGAAAGAGGGAGTTCATGCCTTCAGCCCGCATTCACTGGCCATCAACTGTGTACCAAGCATCAGCTATAGTCCCCAGGGGTCCCAAAACTGCAGCTGGGCTCAGACTGGACAGGAAGAGTGGCAGCCCCCCCACCCCGCTGCACCCCACCTCTGAGCACCTCTTCCAAGCTTTGCAGTGACAGGGATGCCAGGCGAGGCATGTGAAATGTTTGAAAGCCCGGATTTGAGGGCTTCCTGTTTTCTCAGCCTAGGAAACGAGAGGAGTGGATCTTTAATGGAAAGTTTCCACAGGCGCTCCGAGCTAAAAATAGCTTGTGGGCAGGGAGCTGGCACCGGGGCCTCACAAAGGGCTGTTTCCCTTCTCAGCACACGGGCTGCGGTTGGGGCCAGGTTAGGGGACCAGCGCGGATTCCCCTGCCTTTGGAGGGAACACTCCCACTGGGAGCTCTACAATCCAGTGACTGTGGCCTTCAGATCTCGGGGTGGGGGGGGGAGCTCTGGTGGAGAGACCATCTCCTCCCACACAGAGCCCTAGGGGAGGAACCTTCTCAACCTCATGGCTGACTCCCCATGGTGCCAGTGGGGAGGAGAGTTCTGGGACAGAGACACCGTGTGTACCCCAAAAACTGGGATGGGGGCCACATCAGAGTAGAAACCTGGTTTGAGTCTGGAGTAACTAGGCCACTGCAATTATCTGTAAGATACAAGAGGTTCGTGGAGAAGGGAACCCCCAGTGGTGTCACACTGCAATCTCTCCCTAAGTCATTCCCCCTCCAGCTTTGGGACAAGGAGGGTTCCCCACTCTTCCTGCCAACCCCTCATTATCCAGAGTCCTGCCCAGCCCCCTTTGCTGCCCTCCAACCACACTGACTTCCATTCTGCACTTGGCCTTGCTGGAGGCTTCTTGGCCGGGTCGCTGGACCACACTATGCTATTGGCTCCACAGAGCAGTTTCTTCCTCTCTGCACCAGCAGACGCCTCCGTGAGCCCCCAGGTGCATCTCACTCCCTCCTTTGATGTGTCCCTCACAGGTCACTAGGTATTGCTGTTTATGGCCTCCTTTCCCACTGTGACACTCCCCACACAGACAACAATCACTACAGCGGGTTACAAGATGGACCAGAATGGGGAAGTGAGGGGTGAGGAAGCTGGGGCACAGTGACAGAGCTGGGCTTTACCATCAACTTTTTACAAAAGAAGGTTTATCCTGGTACCAAGCCCTGCCATTTCCCAACCCTGGTAATTGTGGGATTGCTCACCAGGACCCGTCTTACGATCCTGTATACTACACAACTGTTACACTGTCCTGTGAAGTTCACAGTCATTGGGCTGCTGCCAGGGAGTCTGTTTCAGACTCGGTGGTGATCCCTTGCACAGCACTTCCACTTCGGCCCTTCTTCCTAGTCTGTCATAGGCTGGAATCTCTGCTGAAGCTCATTCAGCATCAGAGCAATATACAAGCCTCCACCGGCCGACAGCTGGGAATTACACCCAGGTCTCCTGCATGGAGGGGAGGATTCTCCGAAGCTACCACCTTTGTTTGGTAGGGGGTGCTCCCAGAGTCCTTCCTGTCTTTTTGGCCCCATCAGGAAAAGGCCGTGCAGCGACCAGTGGAGATGAGCCTGTCCTGAGGGGGTTAACCCTTGAGCACGGCTTTCTCAGAACTGATGCCAGTGGTGTTCAACACCCCACAGCGCACTTTTGACTGTCCTCATCCCTATTACAGATCAGTGCTGGGACGAAAACCCTGAGGAAAGTCTAACCCGAGGGCCCACTTGTAGGCTGAGTCCAGAAAGAAAGCAATGAACAGAAACTAGTATATAAAAATATAACATGTTCTAAAAAAAACCCAAAACATGTTCTCTCCAGACCTTCAGGAAGAATCAGATAATATATAGTCAGCATCTATGACAAAGTGCTTTCATATACAAGGAATTACCAATTAATAAGAAAATAGTATTCTATTAACAAGGGCTAAAGACAGGAAGTATATACCAGAAGCTGGCAGACTTTTTCTACATAGCACCATCTAGCAAATACTTTTGGTTTTATGTGCAACAAGACCTGTCTAAACTAATCAACTCCGATATGGTAAAAGCAGCCATATGTAAGCAAATGAGTATCATTGTGTTCTAATAAAACCCAGACCAGGGACCGCCTTCGGCCCCTACAACAAAACCCAGTTTTGTCTGTTTGGACTCACGGGAGAGAGTGGAGCTGCCCAGAGGTCTTGCATGGCTATCTAGGCTTTTATGGAAATACAGTGGCTTCTTTTTCTCCTAGGCACTGGCTTGGGGGTTTGAACCACTGGGCTGCAAGGCCTGACTCAGTTTAGCTTCTAGCTACATCAGGAACAAGGTGGGGAAAAGGAAAGTAGGGGGCTTTCTGGGTAATATAATTGAGGCGACATTCCTAAAAGCCAGAAAGATGGTGTGCTGGTGACCTTTGCAACCTCTAGGGTGGTGCAGACAGTTGACACACTTGGACGCTCGGGCCACGGCTGGCAGTTAAAATCAGCCCAGAGGGCACTCTGTGATCTGCTTCAGAAAAACCAGCCCCTGAAACTCCTCAAAGGAATTCTATTCTGACCCACCAGGTCACCACAAGTCAGAACCGACCCAGCAACTGGTAGAGGAACTAGCCTGGCTTCAGACGCTGACCCCCTCTGCCCTGGGAACGTTCTGAGTGGTTTGAAGAGGCACACAGAAGGCCGCTGAGCTCGGCCCAGGGGCACTCAGACTCCAGGCCCTTTCCCTCAGTGATGACTTTGGAACCAGATCCCCTGAGTAAGCAGAAAGGTGTGCAGAGGCCCTGCCTCTCTCCCAAGCCTCAGCCTGTCCTCTAAAACCTGGTTAGAACACACGAGTGCCTCAGAAGACCTGACCTGGCCACAGAGCCCTCGGCCAGCACGCTGCCCCCTCTAGACTTGAGAGCCTGAAGTGGGCGTGGGCCCCAGCACACTCCCTTCCCTCGAGCAGAGCTAGGCTGGATCTCCCGAGAGGGACCAGGGAGGGTCAGCCGGAAAGCCCATCCGGTGCTGTGAGGAATGTATACCTTTAGGTTCAATTGCTCTTAGGGAAAAGCTCTTCTCCAGACCAAGGCTCTGAATGCTCCTGGTAGAGGACCTAAGCTCCCTGGCTCTACTCCAAGCACCTACGTACAGGTGGCCATGAGGACAGCTAGCTGATGACCTGTGATGTAAATCTCCAAGCTCAAACAGCTCTCCCAAGGCTCTGCATTTGCTTGCGAAGGACTCTGTTGGCCCTTCATCCCCTCCCAGCCATGTCTGCATGCTCTGGTGCTTTGGGGGGGCTTGGGAACCTCTAGGGAAGACAAAAGCCCAGGACGGGACTGTGGCTCACAGCAGGGAGCAGAGGAGCAGCACTGCGTGACTACCACTCCGAACCACACAGGATAGACAGAACTGGGCCCTGTGGTCAGTGTCCTGGAGGGTCCCAAGCACTGCCCAGTGCTAACCTCAGGTACGCATACTAAAGAGGCCCTGCTCTGAGATGACCTTCAAATGGCATGCACGCTATGATATGTTAATTGTGTCTGCCAATCCCGGCTGCTTTGCTGGGGGCTCAGCAGAACGTATGCTGGTATTACTGCCTTTCCTGTGGTAGTTTTTTACTCTCTGTTGGAGAAGAAAGCGGGCTCCCCACTGCACAGCTTTGTACATCCCAGCAGATCCTCCCCACAGAAGCATGATTCTCGGGGGTCACCGGGGCAGAGCCGCCCACCAAAGGGATGCTAGTGAGGACATCTGGACCCTGACCCGAAAGGAGACCATTCAAAGGCAGGCTGGGGGGACCCTGGGGTGGCACAAAACCCAGCGGTAATGGCGGATGTGTAGGGAGTCTGACTTGGCACCGCCTCTGCCACCTTCTCTACAAGGATTCAACCAGTCATTTCTTCCAAGAAGCTGGACGCCAGAATGGTCACTCTGTCCGCGTCCTACTCTTGGGACTCAACACCTAAAGAGCCTCCAGCAACTTGAATTCCAATCTGCTGTAGCTCCTGCCCACGCTGGCCGTGGAGGCCCACCAGGGGAGAGCGACTGGGGTGAGGGGCGCAGCTGAACCCAGGTGTCTAGTTCCACGCCCATCGAGAGCCAGGAAGGAGGTGGAGCTGAGGGTGAGGAGATTAAGTCCAGAAATATCCGAACCCCAGGGCGCCGCCAGGGGTTTCTGCCCTCACTCCCCAGTGCAGACCACCCACCTGACCACCAGCCAGCCTTGCTTTGCTGAGAGCACCGAAGCCCAGAGGCACCACTGCATTTCTTCTTTTTTCCTTTTTTTTTCATGCAGGACAGTCAGGGAGACGGGTAGGAACCCGGTGAGAACATGCACATTCCCAGGCCTCACCCTCCAGGGCTCCCAGCCCCCGACCTTGAACTCCATCCGACCTCCGTGACTCTGAGAATCTCTCAGAGAATCAGAGGCGGTGGGGTCCAGCCCTTAAAGGGAGAAAGTGGCATCTGTGTAGATGACAGGAAAGAGAGAAAAGGGAGCTTCGGGATGGATGGGCAGGGCCATCTATTTCTTAAAATTATCTTTTTCTTTAAAAAAAAAATCAAAATCATTCAAGTAAAGAAACACCCAGCTGGAAAAACAAAAAGGAGAGGCAGAAAATATCAATTACCTTCAACTTTGATTTCTCGGATCAAAGAGCACAGTCATTCTGTTTCATAATATGTTTTGTATCCAGCTAAGGTGTGTGTCTATCAGCTCTGAAAAAGATGTGCAAAACCGATTTTGAGAAGAAAAAAAAATCACCTTTGACCTCTACAACCCCTCTAACTCATGCCGATATCCTGTAACCAAACCCGTGAGAAGTTCACCCCACCTCTGTATCCACATAACATGCATCTTAACATTTGTGTGTCGGAATTGACCCCACACCGTGGCCATTAGTCACTGGGGGACCTTGTACGAAGAAATGGGGAAACCCCCTCCCAACGTTAAAATGTGCGACAACATAGCCCAGCTGCGGCCATATCATCATAGTGTTTCATGTCACCGCAACTGAAGAGAGACAATTGAAAACCAGCTTGTAATACAGTCAGGAGAAAATTGAGGGCGGGGCCCTGCCCCCTCAAAGTCAGAAAATTACCCTTTTCTCCCTGGGTTCTTTAAAAAAAAAATATTATGAGGGGGGGGGGGGGGAGAAGGTTCCTATTTTTAGCCCCTGCCACAGTGAAGGCATAAGAACAACGTGTGAGCAGTGTATTCTATAAGCTGTGGTTCTGTTCCACCTTGTCAACATTCAGTAATAATAGTAACACCACCCCCAAGCTGTACCATGTGTCCGACTTTCAAGGTATAGACACACTGTGAGGCTGGAGTCTGACGTGAGCGTCTAGTTTAGAAACACCTTCCAAAAAAAAAAAAAAAAAGAAATACTTTCCGGGTTTAATTTCTTACAGAGAGAAACTTCTTTGGGGTGCAGCATCAGACCAGCACGCTCCTTCAAGGAGGGCTGTGTCTCCTCTGAGGTTTTTTCTTCAAAGGAGAGACTGTTCTGTGAGCGCAGGCCTGAGATCCTGGACCTCCCTCTAGTCTAATTCACGCATTACCATCGAGCCAGAACTGACCCCAGGCTGACTCTCTGGCGGGTTTTCAGAGGCTGTAAATCTTACAGGTAACGACTGCCCCATCCTCTTCCTGCATGACAGATTTGAACCACCACAGGGGCACCACCTTCAAGGACTTAGAGGTGCAACTCCCTTAATCAGAAAAAATGACATCAGATTTGATTTACAGAAAACTCTGTTAATGGATAAATTGGGAAAGAAAATGATGGAAGCCTGAATTATCAATTAGAAGTTATTGGAAAAGATCAAATGAACAAGAATTAAACTAAAGCTTTGGAGCTGAGGTGTACAAAATAATCTAAAAAAGTAGTGTATATTAAAACTGTATACAAATTGAAAAAAAAATAACCAAAAAACAAGAGCAACTCCCTACGGGTTGCAGACATCACAGCTTCGAAACCCCTTTGAGGCACTTCTCCTCTGTCACTTGGAGTTGCTGAGTCAGAGTCGATACCACTCACAGTACCACCAAGCATTCATCAACTCTTAAAACTCTTATTTGATACATCACTTCTTTCTAGAATGCCAGCAGTCAGGGGTCTTGGCTGACACTCTACCTGTCATTGAGAACTGGAGCAGTCCCAGTGGCCTGGGGACCCGGGAGTCCTTGAGAAAATGCTATATATACTCTGAGGTTCAACGTCCGTGCCACCAGCACACTGTTTTCTTTTTTTCTCCAAAACAACAGAGCTTATGACAATTAGTAGTGACTTTGCACCAGGCAGAAAGTCACTCACTGCTGATTCTCACATCACCCCACAAGGTGGCAGCTGGAGGCCAAGGGTGGAGGCCAGCCTCCCCACCAGGTATCCGCTGTGTCAGCTCAAGGTTCTAAACTCGTTTCATTTCAGCGTTCCTGTTCTCACACCATTACAGAACCAACCCTTCTGGGTAGAGGTTTGTGCTGCAACCCCAAAGGCAGGAGGTTCGACTCCAGCTCCTCGAGACAAAAACGGGCAATCTCCTCCCCTGCAATTTACAACCTCTGCTAGGGGTCAGTTCCAACTCAACAGCAATTGACACCACCCCCTGGACCATGCAGGTCAATCCACTGCTTCATTTCAATTCACACCGGCTCCAAGATCCCTCCTAACTTTACAAACGAAGAAACCCATTCAGAGCAGTCACGCCGCTGGCCGAGCAGCACCGCAAAGCTGGGATTCAGGTTGGATGCCAAAGTCAGCGTCCACACCCCACCACAGGCTTAGGGTCAAGGCTCCCGTCTGGAAGCCTTATCCGTAAAGGCCAGAGTTGACCCTCATGGGATGAGGGGGCTCTCTACTAGAGCCTCTTTGCTTCCAGACACTAGCATCTGTGGAAAGACTGAGAATGGTGTGGGTGCCTACTGCCTAGCCACTGAACAGCACAGTTCCCAAGGGCGATGGTGGCCACAACAGACTCACCAAGTGCGACCCTGTTAGCACCAGGTGTCATGAACAATTCCAAGGGCACTCCCTCGAAGAGCGGTTCATTTCTGGGCAGAGCCCAGGGAACTGTGTCTTAACACCACTGGCTAGATGGTCCCCATCAGCCACTCTCGGAGCGTGCCCTCCCCACCCTCCTGAGACCGCACCGCATGGTACTCGGAGATGCGGCACTGAAGCCTCACTCAGGCCGCCCCGGCACTGGCTCGTGTGCAGTGTTTCTAGGTGCAGCTTCCTGTTGTAGCCATGGGGTTTCACTGTCTGTTTCCTGGTAGAAATCAGAGGCCACCAGATGAAGGGCCTGCTCCACCCCCCAACGCTGCCTTACTAAACCCTCCACTGTCTCAAGGGGCACATTCCCACTTTCAGGTCAAGTTACTGAACAGATACAAGATGTGCCCCTAGTTCAAGGGGGGCTCCCCAACCTTGGGAAACCACAAGGCCCTGAGAGTGATGTGAAAATGCAGAGTGCCGGGCCTCAGCCAAGCAGGTGGCCAGTGGTGCTGGGGAGGCCATCTGTGCTGCCCAACACGCCAACTACGTGGCCATTCAGCCAGGGCTAGTGGGACTGAGGAACAGAGTTTTCAAAATGTAGTTTCCTTTACTTGGGAAGAGCATGGCCTAGCTACTGTGTTGGCTCTGGATGCTGGCCACTCTGGCCCAGTCACCCTGTGTCTCTAGTGAGCTCCCCACCCTGCCCCCATTCCCAGAGGTAGACCACGTGGCCAAGTCAACTCAGTCCTCCTCTGGCCTTGGGTGTCATTCTTCCTGTGTTGGTACCGTCCTTGTCACTGGCTCAGGGAGAATGCCAGAGATCAAAGCTAATATTCAAGAGAGGAGCCTGGGTGGTAGAGTGGTGAAGGCTCTTCACTGCTAACTTGGTCATGATTCAAACCTACCAGCCTTCCAGGAGGCAAGACCTGGTGATCTGCTGCTATAAAGAATTCATCCTTAGAAACCCTTCTACTCTGTCCTGCAGAGTGGTCGTGAGCCAGGACCAGCTCACTGCCAACAGGTTGGGTTGATCATTTATAGGGGAGCTAATGACCAGGTCTTGTCATTTATGGAGCTAGTGTGTGAGTTCAAACCCCTGACCTTTTGGTTAGTAGCTACGCGCTTAAACATTGGTGCCACTAGGGCTCCTGCAGTTCTCTGAGGTCCTGCTGTAAAGAAGGTCTCAGAGACGAGTATGTTCCTGGTAGTTACATAGGAGACCACATGCCAAGTGACATCAGAGCTCCTGTTCTCCACGGGGCCGCCACCAGAGGCCCTCAGAAAAAAGGTCCTTGTGAGAACATCCAGTTAGAGAATCTCAGTTTCCTCACCCACAAAATAAGAGATCAAAACCACAATTCTGTTTCCCTATACATCAGGACACTTGGTGCCAGCGACCACGGGATGTGTTGCACTAGGAAAGTCTGTAGTCTGGGACCTCTCCAAATTACTGAGGAGCAGGGATACTAGTTAGAGGACTAAGGTACACTTGATTCAGACTATGGTCGTCTTAATCACTTGCTATGCATCTGAGCTGGACAATGAATAAAGAGGGCAGAAGTAAAATTGATGCCTTTGAACTGTGGTGTTGGATAAGAGACCCACAGACTGCCCAAAGAACAGGGATGTCTCGGAGAAGGCGCAGCCAGAGGGCTCCCTGGAGGCAAGGATGGCAAAGCCTGTCTCACATACATCAGGCATGTTGCCTGGCAAGATGGAGGGGTCAGAGGAAGAGGAAGACCTTTAAGCAGATGGACCAGGGATTCAGACCTTTTGTTCATGGAATCACTGTGAGTCATACTTCACAGCACCTAACAACAACATACATTAAACAGGAAGCTTCCTGGAGTAGGGCAATGTTCTGATTATTACTAAAATGGATAATAAAAATAACAGGAGTTATTGTGTGCTGCCTCTGTGTAGCTTAGGTAGTGAGCTCTGGAGGTACCGTCATTAACGCACTCGGCTACCCACCGAAAGCTTGGTGCTTTGAACTTGGTGGGGCAAGATGAGGCCGTCTGTTCCTGTCAAGATTACAGCCTTGGGGTAGTTGTCTCGTAGGGTCGCTGTGAGTCAGAATGAACGTGGAGGGTTGGGTTTGGTATTACCTAAGTGCCATGTGCAAAGACACAGAAAAGCCCTCTTGTCCTGGCCTCCAGCCCCACCTTACGTTTTACAGAGGTGGTGTGTTTTTACACCTCTAGAGAAAGATGGTGATCAACTTGCTCGTTGTGCCGAGGAGACCAAAGTTTAGCGTGAAGACAGGAAGTGGCTGGCTGAGCAGCTTCACCACCGCAGATAAATATCAAGAAAGCACAAGTTGTCAACAAATAGCCTCTCAGAGACAAAACTACTGCCTTCAGCATTGATCACCTAGACAAGTTCTGCAGCTTCGCCTGCTAGACTTCTGAGCAGACAGAGGGGTTTAAATGGGGTCAAATGGAAGACCTGCGTGCCGCAGAGCTGATGGTAACTACGAAAATGGCATGAGGTCCATCCACCCGGATGACTCTACGTGGCAGTAACCCAAAGGCCACCCTCTCTGGCGGTTCAAATCCACCAGCTGCTCTGAGGGAGGAAAACGGGCAGTCTCCTGCTCTATAATCTACCGCCTCCAAACTCCAACGGAGGATCCGCTAGAGGTTGGTTCTAACTTGACAAAATAACACACAGGACAAAGCTGATGTCCTGACTCCTGAAGGAGGTACTGTCTTCTCC